ATATGGCTCCACTAGTTAAATCAAAAAAGTGGCCAAAACTTTCAACCCTCTATTGTTAATTTTGTTTTTTGCCACTTCAGCTTATCTCTGCAAACTCTCAAGGAAATCAAACAATTTTTGCTCATGATTATGAAACACATTTATTTAAAAATAATTCAATGTAAAATTTAATCTTTAGTACTTTTTAATTTAATGATAGTCTAAAAATTTTGATGTATGTAAAATTAAAAGGAAATGGTAGTTTCTGAGTTAAGAAGTTTAAAAAAAAAGATACATTTTTAAATTTTAATTTCTCTAATTCCGTTTAAATTTGACATATAAAGTTGTATTTATAAAAATAATATACAAAATGTGTATGACTTATAATGTTATGTTTTTCAACCGTTCTTAAATTTATAATTTAAAAATAATAATTATATAAATTATTATAATAATTATAAAAATAATATATTTTTTAGCATGAAATTATCATTTGAAAAGCAACTTTCATAATTATGGGCACTTAACCCCCCCCCCCCTTTTAGAGTTAAGACGAATTATGCAGAGAGAGAAATTAATATTAAGTATCCTTAATATTCCACCACTCACCAGATTAAACTATTGAGATTATTTATTCCAGATAGCGGTTAACCCCCATATTTTTTTTAGAGTCAAGAAAAGCGAATCGTTTGAAAAAATATATATTGGTTTAATATTTTGTGCCTGATTTTGTAGCTTAAAATATTTTTCCGTACTTATTAAGTTATATTTTATAACCATCATTCAACAACCGACCCAATTTTGAGTTTACGAATACTCATATTCAACTTCGTAGCCTCTCAATTTTGAACTCAACCCGGAAGACAGGGGAGCTCCTGGATCAAGTCTTGGGAGAAATTGCCTTGGGGAGACTTTTTTGATCGAACTAACCCGCATTTGCGTTACGAGCACAGGAAAACCTCTCACAGTTAGCCTAAAGGCAAGGGGGAAACTAACCCATGATCAGTCTACCACTGAATATATTTAGCGCCCGCACTATGGTCGGTGCGGAATTCGTATCGATCTGTAATCTGGGGAATTCGAACCTGGGTTGTCTCATTTCGAGGATAGCGCTCTATTCCCCTAGCCATCACCGCGGCTCGCACTTAATAGGGGTTAATTTTGGGTTTACTACTACTAATGTTCAACTTCGTAGCCATGTATTTTGAACCAATCCAAACTTCTGGATCTGTACCCCCAGACGTATAGATTTGTTATGGGAACATGGAGGACTTTGCGACTGGACAGATTTAACGTGCATCAGTCACCATTTACTGCACGGGGAGTCTTCGGCCAGAGGGGATCGAACCCACGAACTCTTGGATATGGGCCCTTACACTTAAGTTTTATTTTATAACCGTCGTTCAACAGCCGACCCAATTTTGGGTTTACGACTGCTAATGTTCAACTTTGTAGCCTTGTAATTTTGAACCAATCTAGAAGAAAACTCCTGGATCAGTACCCCCAGAGGTATGATTTGTTATGGGAACATGGTGGACTTTGACAGATTTAACGTGCATCAGTGACCATTTACCACACGGGGGATCGAACCCAAGACCACTTGGACATGAGCCCAGTGCCCTACTACCTATCCCGGCAGCGCACTTAATAGTTAACATATTTCAAGTTAGATTCTCGAACCATTAAGATTGTATCTTACGTTACGGATTTTAAACAGCTCCTCTTTTATTTCACGCCCTGTATGTATACTGAATAATATTTTTAAGAAATGAAATAAAAATATTTTATAGGTCGCAAACTAATCTTTTAAACCATTAACGAAGTCAATAATCGTAAGATACGTAATTAACGTCATTCTCGAGCTGCGTAACAGACTATTGGCGACAATCTGGGAAAGATCCCTGAGGATGATCCGAATTCAAGCCATCGCAATTTTGGTTCTCTGCAGAGGGGAATGCACCTCTGCTTTGGTAGCCCGATGACCTTTCCCGCGAAATCGAGTACTTTACGGTAGAACAGTAGTTCCCATTTGAAGTTTTTAATAATTTTTTTTTTTGGTCTTTGGTGAAACTTATGCAATAGCTTCTGATTTGTCAGTAAGAATTTTATTCTCTTTACTCTCATTTTTTTTTTGTTGGTGTATTTGAGTCTTCAGGGTTCCCACTCTATGATGAGATTGAAATTCAAGGACCTCAACAAAATTTTCAAGGACCTTAATCTAAGACCAATTTTAAAAATTATTCTCTTCTATTTTACTAGAAGCAACAATGCTTGTTGTGGCAATAATTAATTTCAAATATAATACCTAAATGCTTTGCCTATATAGAGAGAAGAGAGTATATGTATTATGGACTAAAATTTATATTTTTTTAAAAACAACCCTACTGGTTTTACATATTAATTCACAAAATCATTTTCAGCACAATCTATAACTAATGGTAATGAGGTGTTAATGGTGAAATCCTTTAATCCTGTGTATTTCCATGTGAAGGCTGCATGAAAGACAGAGCTAAATCTTAGGTATTCCATATTCCATGACTATTCCATAACCCCCTCCTCTCCTCTATTAAACATCGTTTCTGAAATTATTCATCCATAATTTACACAACCTTCTCTAAATGTTATGCAGCAACAATTCTTTCTGAAAATAAAAATTAGAAGGAACATATCCCATTTTCACCATGTTTAAAAGCATTATTCGTTATGTGTAATCCACAACTGCCAATGAATATGACCTGGTGGGAATATTTCTCTTTTAATTCACACTGAAGCTTCTAATAGAATTTCCAATTGACATAGGGTCCATCCATGGATAATTGAAGTATTTTAGAGAGCTTTTAACCATCATCCATGCATTTGTAAAAAGAGGACAAAATATTTTCTGCAGTTCCATGACCCATAAATTGGGAGGTAAGATACTTAGTGCAAACTTTATTATCAATTCCTTACCATAATGTCCATCTGCTTAGATTGTAGAGACTGATTTAACGTCTCATCAAAGAGTACAGTGTAGCAATCAACATTCTTCAGCTCATTTATAAGAATCCCTTTGAAGTATAGTGCCAATCCAAAGGAGCCCAAATAGGCTCACTTTGTGGCACTACAAAAAAATTGTCTCGCTATACAGCTATCAGCAAACATTTTGGAGAACAATTTACTAATCCCTTCACAGGAGTTACATGAATAATTACTAGTGATGCACTTCAGACTCCAGAGAATTTCAGCATCAAGCACATTCCTTTTGACCAGATAAGAAGACAATGTTACCTCGGCCACTAAAGTTTCTGTTTCACATGGGGCACACGATGTTGAAGGAGTATTTACACCAGATGAATTAGATGTTGATGTCTTTGGAAAAAGAGAACTCAGGGCATGAGACTGCTTTTTTGTTTTACCTTTCTTTCATGTGTGATTTCAGAGCAGATTCTTCCATTTTCGCGATATCGATCTCCTTCATGCATAATCGGCACTTGGCTCTGAACTTCTTTTCGGGCATCGATAAAATCCATTCTTTATAAGCTTGATTATCCATCCATTGGGGATTAAAATAGCACTTCCCAGGCATAACTAGTCTAAACTACATAACACAAATACGAAGCCGTGCCTTTGCGAATACGCTTTACAATAAAGTTTTGAAATGACGCAAACGTAAGGACAAGTGCGGATGGTAAAACGGCAAATTTATTGAAAACTACAAGGTACATATTGTTACGAAATTCGAGAGTATTCCAGTTTCGATAAGAAAAAAGAAGATCTAAGCATATGCGACAGAAGATGAAGTGGAGTCTCGCCCCGAACGCATTGATTGTCTGCTGTGCTCCGCGCGCTTGGCAGACACCAAGACGCTAGGCCCGGTTAGAAACGGTGGCGTTAAAAACCACGTGAGAGAGCTCGGGAACAAAACAGAAAGAACCGCGGGTGTTTTATAAAAAGGGCCGTCGGCAGTATTGGCCAAATTCAAGGACCTATCAAGTTTTTCAAGGACCTAAGATGTTTTTCAAGCACTTTCAAGGACCTAAATTTAGCAAAAAAAAAATTCAAGGACCGTGGGAACCCTGCTCTTTGTCTTTTAGCAACATTTTTTCCCCCCGTTAATATGAAACTCGATATTGGATTTCAAAAATGCGAATCACGTATAAATACGAAAATCGATGCTTGACATTACAATCGCATAAACGAATCACATCGGATTTTAAACTCGCGTGAATACGAATCGCTATGTTGGATTTATGAATCTCGTAAATAAGAATCGCAATGTACGATATTTAAATCGCTTGTATAAGAATCGCAACGCTCACTTTTTAAATCAGGTAAAAACGAAAATCCATGTTTGATATTAAAATCGCGTGAATAAGAATCGACATATTAGCCGATTCTGGGCTTAGATTTTTTTAAAGGCTTATTTGTATGTTTTTGTTTATTTAGCTATAATAAGCATTTTTTACCGCAAATCAGCCACTTAATTACAACATAAAAGCCGCGACATCTGAATTACGAAAATGCGAGCGATCTGGCGGGCGGGCGGGTAAAAATGCGAAAATCTTATTTTCTGCGTGTAAAAGAGAAAGTAGCTAAAGTAATAAAAAATGCGGAACCAGCTACGTAGTTTGAATTTTCTGTTTAGATTTGAAAATCGGAAATAAATTAATTATTTTATTTCAACGGTTGAATTTTTTAAGAAAAGCGGAATATTTTTCAAAAAAAAAAAAAAAAAAAAAAAAAAAAAAAAAAAAAAAAAAAAAAAAAAAANAAAAAAAAAAAAAAGAAGAGAAACCTTGAGAGAATTGGAGTTTTTGATAAAAAGGCTGAAAATCTAGAGAAAAACGGAAAAGGCGGCAATCCACTAAAAAGCAGGAAAATCTCATCCCTGAATACTATGTTACAAAATTCTAGCATGTATAATTCTATAACAAAATTAACTTTAAACACGTGGAAATCAAGATCTTATTAGTTGGAAAGTCACATTGATATTTTAAACAAATGATGATAGTGAATGTCGAAGTAAATGAAAAAGAGACACATTTATAAAAAACCACGCCCATGGTCCACTCTTTAATCACATCACAACTTATCATTACAACATTCTTTCATATTTTAAACAAAACTAACTGTTCATTCATCTCTCGCACCACGCTTCACTTTTCGCTGTGTAGCTTGTTTGGGTAGTTGTGGCGATACTTGAGCATTCTTTCCCTGAGCCTTAGACTTCCTGGGCGACAACCTTTCAGATCGGCGCGGAGACTTGTCTAAAAAGAAAATATTAAGTAAAATCAGCATTTAATTTTTTTTTTTATTTTTTAAAAAATAAAAAAAACTAATTATTAAAATTAATTTGAACAGGGTTGCCACTCAGACCTAGGAAAAAAATTCCCTGTAGAAAATTATACGCAATATATTAAGCGGAAACAACAATTACTGTGCTCTACTGTGAGCCATATTGGGGTAACTATTTTAATTAGTTTTAATTACTGGAAAAAAGCACGACATACTTAAATAATGCTATAGTAAATGAAAGAGTTAAGTATAGCTGAAACATCTTCCTTAAATATCCCGTAGATGACGCTTTGAGTGGTCCCAATTTTTTAAAAGACAAAAATAAGAAACAAAATTCCCTGTATTTTCCCAGTAAAGAAAAAATAAAAATTTCCTGCATTTTCCGTGTTATTTTAGGAAATTTTTGAATTCCCTGTATTTTCCAGGTTTTCCCTGTGGAGTGGCAACCCTGTTGAAATACACGAAAAGAAATTAATTTTAAAAAATAATAATAATATAATGAGAAACACACACGTAAATGGATTTTTTTTATAGTAACAAATAGGTCACTTATTTAGTTTCTTAAAATTTCAATACTTTTACGTCTGATTACATCAAAATAAACAGGTTTCAGGAATCTTAATTTGTCCTGATATTTTGGAGAATCAACACAACAATATCGCTCATTTCACAACATTGTCGTTCAACACCTTATTCCTTGCCACAATTGTGTTTTTTAAATTTATATTATTCAAATATGAATTTTCATTTCAACACTCAACCTTAAAACATAAATCTGTGAACTTAAATAGCATTTATAAGTTCGTATAATATATATGATCGCAGAAATCAATGTGATAATAATTTGAATTTATAAATTACCTTCTGAATGAAAGCAGTTATTGTAAATTTGCAGATTTTTTTTAAAATCTAAAATTGTGGTTTTGGCTTATATTCAATCGCATTTAGATCAGTAGTCTCGTTATTTCAGTCCTATTAAATATTTCCATAAATTAAATCAATATTAAATACTTTTCATTCATTATATTTAGAGACATTGTGGCAAGCATTTTATACTTAGTTTTTGTAACTGATAAAAAGTTTAATGTTTACAAACTATCTGTTCAGGATCAACTTATACAGTATATCAGTCTAAACTGCTGATAAACTTTCTTTTCATATTATTAAAACTGGCAAAAACTATTAATTTTAGTTGAAACTGGTAGAGGGACATCTAAAGAACAGACTCCTACACAGAAAATTAAGAATAAACTACAAAATTCCACTTATGATTTATTTTCTAAGGTGGGGTAATGTGAGTGTATGGTTTGGCTTAGCTAAGTGTTGTGCGATTATACATATATCTTACTTCTGTGTTAGCTTTAGTAAGTATTTCATGCTTTATATTTTATAATGAAATAGCTGAAAAATAATCTTCTGACGCTATATGGTAGTTTTAACACTAAAAACAATTTAATTAAATCGAATAAAAATACAAATCAGCACCTAAATAATAAAAACACTTTAAATTACCACTATAGATATTTATTTTTACTCTCTCATTTATATTTCAAATATACCAAAAACTATCACACTTTTTTTTGCAATTCCATGAAATTTAGTTGATTTCAGAAAAATGTACTGCATCCTAAGTGAAGCCTAATTTTGATAGCCATAAACATTATCTCTATTTAAAAATATGAAGGGAAAAAAAAAACATTTTTTAGCAATTGTCTTTCTTTACATATAACCAAAATACATTTATTTCAAAAACAATATTTACAAGTGTTTTTTTAATGAAATATACATTAATTTTAAAACTATCTCCACTATAGGGTAAAGTGCGTACACTAAAACATGTTCTTTTGAATGCACTACAGCAGTGTTTCCCAAACTTCTGACTTTAGTGTACCCTTTCTAAATTTTTCTTAATGCTGTGCACCACCAATAAAAAAATGAATGCATTTTTTAATATAAAAAAATTGCACAAAAGTTAAAAATCACAACTAGCTGTTGACACGGCTCAATATTAATTGTTAAGTCTGCAAAGAATAGCAAACAGAAAAATACGCAATCATAAATTTTCATGGCTAGCTTTGTTTTTAAAGAAATTTTCGTTTGTTGCAAGATATTTTGCATAAGAACGCATATCCCCGCTAAACTGTTCAGGTACCCGCGTACCCAGGGCTAACGAGAATAGAAGGGTTGGTTCACTCCTTTGAAGTAGCTCTCGCCGAGCCAATCCTCCGATTTTCTCTGGTGACGTCACTTTGGCGCAAAGCTCGCGCTTTTACTTCAAGAACGGAGCGTTCGGCGTTAGTAGCTCTAACTAATATTGGAGCATTTCTTTTTGCGAGATATTCTAAGACATTTGTTATTTTCTATAATGACTTTCCTCAGTTTTTGCAGTGAATTTACAAGAATTTGAAACTATTATCGAAATGCCAGTTTGCGCGATTGCAACTTGAAAAAATTTTGATAGAAAAACAAAAATAAAAAATATAATTTTCCGCATGTTCCCTAAAGTAAATGAACAGCTACGTAAAGAATGGATTCTAAAATGACACAGTTAATATAAAACAGCAATACGTTTATTCTGTCGTTAAGAACTTTTATAAAAATTCATTATCTAAATAGAAGCCGCCTCGTTACTTCAAAAAAAAGGCAGGTGAAAAAAAATTTAAAAATGGATAAAGTCAAAGAAAATTAAAATGTAAATAAAAAGTATAAATAAAATACATTGTATATAGTTGGAATTCTCCTAATTTCATAACATATTTTTTAATGTAGTTATTCTAAATATTTATGATTTTTTTAAAAAATTATATTGTCTTAAATTTAAATATCTATAAATTGTATCATCGTAAATTTAAATATCTATAAACAATTGTAAAATTTCTAATGTCATTATGAACCTAAATTATTATTTTGTTTCAGTAATTAGCGTTTAAGGTTGATGTTTCCTAATGATTAAGTATGAACAAATTGCTATT